GGAAAATCTCTGCAGCGTCCCTCATGAACCTAAAACTGCATCTAAAAACTGAAGTCTTAAATCGTATGTTCTCCTTCATGTGCGGACATTAGATCAAGGGCAAAAACAACAAGGGGATTGGACTTTGATCACATGAGAAAGTGAGAGCACACAAGGGAGGGGTGAGGATAGGTAAGACACCTAAAAAACTAGATAGCATTTGTTGCCCTCAACGCAGAGAAACTAAAGCAGATACTTTAAAGCAACTGAAGCCAATAAGAGAAGGGGACCAGGAACTAGAGAAAAGGTTAGATCAGGAAGAATTAACCTAGAAGGTAACACACATGCACAGGAAATCAATGTGAGTCAACTCCCTGTATAGCTATCCTTATCTCAACTAGCAAAAACCCTTGTTCCTTCCTATTATTGCTTATACTCTGTCTTCAACAAAATTAGAAATAAGGGCAAAATAGTTTCTGCCAGGTGTCAAGGGGGTGGGGGGGAAAGGAAGGGGGTGGGGGGCGGTAAGGGAGAGGGTGGGGGAAGGGGGGAGAAATGACCCAAACATTGCATGCAAATATGAATTAAAATAAATAAATAAATAAATAACTGAAGTCTTTTAAAAACAAAATTACCCATAATCCACCAGTGCAATTGAGTGTTGGGGGAGGTGTGTGCACGCACCCACATGGGTAATCACCTTATAGGGTTTTTTTCTCATAAATTTTTACAGAATTGGGATCTGACTGTATATATACATGATGTTTGGATCCTGTTTGGGTTTTTACTTAACATTATATTCACAAAAAATTCTGTCATTCAAGACTTGAGGTAAACATCAGTTTTACTATATTTTTAACAGACCAGAAAAGTGAGATTGGACATGGGGAGTAAGCCCACCTGGGCAAGATCACACACTATTTAGCACACACTCAGTGCTAGAGCCCCAGTCTTCTGGGATGCCACACTGCCCAACCAGAAGACAATATAGACACTAAGGGAGAAGTAGAAGAAAACAGACTTTCCCAGCAAGCCTCAGAGAAAGGGCTAGTAACATGGCACCAAGAGAGAACTCTGTTATCTAGAAAATGGAACTAACCTTTTATTACTTACTGGTGGTACCAAAGGGATGTACTCAGATGGCTAGAAGTTGGGGGTATTTTGTGTAAGGTAGCACAATGAGGAAGGACACCAATGGGATAATGGCAGTGTCACTCAGTCTTCCTGGACCCCAGCACCTCCATATAGGACTGAACAGTAAACCTCAGTGGAAACTAGAACAATGGCTCAAGATCCAACTGCAGCTCTAGTGGTTCAAGGAGCTTCAGAAAAGACTGTAATTTGTAATCATGTTCTAAAAATAGCTCTGTTGAGCTGTAATTAACACAAAAGCAATTGATCATGTTTCAGGTGCACAGTTAGTAAGTTCAGGGGTCAGGGATATGACTCAGTGGTAGAGCACTAGTCTTGCATGTGAGCAATGCTGGGTTTGATTCCCTGGCACTGAAAGAATTAAAAAGCTCTGACCTATGTGTACACCTGTCAAACCAATAGAACAATCAGTATCTTGAACATACCATCATCTCCAAAACTTTTTGTTCTTTTGTTGGTGCTACAGGGTTTGAACTCGGGACCTCATTAGGCAGACATTCTACTTCTTGAGTCATTCCCCCATCCTTTTTTTAGTTTAGATATTTTAGGAAGGGTCTTGTTTTTGCCTGGTGCTAGCTTTGGACCTCACAGGCACACTCCACCATGCCCAGATTACTGATTGAGATTGGATCTCACTAATTTTTTCCCAAATTGGCCTCAAACTGTAATCCTTCCAATCTCCACCTCCAAAGTATATGGGATTACAGGCATGAGCTACCCTGCTGACCCCAAAATTTTCTTTGTAATCCTTCTTCCTTCTAGCCCCCATCCCAATATAGGCCTGGTCCACTTTCTACAACTATGTATTGGATTGAATCATCTGGAATTTATGTAAACAGAATTATATAGTATTTCCTTTTTTGGTCTGCCTTCTTTCACTCAGCATAGTAATTTTGAGATTTATCTATGTTGTATGTATTAATAGCTCATATTTTAGTTGCTGCTTCGTATTCTAACACATATATTCCACAATTTGTTTATCTATTCACCTACTGGTGGACATTTGGTTTGTTTCCAGTTTAAGAGTTATTGCAAATAAAATTGTTGTAAATATTCTTGTATAAGTCTTTGTAGGGGCAACTTTCATTTCTCTTGGGTAATCACCAAGGAGTAGAATAACCGGGTATAATATGGTAAGCACTGTATACATTTAACTTTATAAGAAACCACCAAACTCTTTTCCGAAGCAGCTAAGCCATTTTACACAGTTAGCAGTAGTGTGAGCTTCCTTTTGCTCCATATCCTGATGGACACTGATAGTCTTTCCACTTTTAGTCACTCTAGATCTTGTGTAGTGGTATCCCACTGTGGTTTCAGTTTGCATTTTCACAATGACAAATGGTTCTGAGCATCTTTTCATGGACCCAATTGCCATCTGTAGATCTTCTTTAGTAAAGTACCTAAATCCTTTGCTTGTTTTTAAATTGGGTTGTTTGCCTTCTCATTGAGTCTTTAGAGTTCTTTATATATATGATGGATTCAAGTCCTTTACCAGTATGTGACTTGCAAATATAGTCTCCCTGTCTATGGATATTCTCTAGTAGTGATTTTTGAAGAACAAAATTCCTGAATTTTTATGAAGTGCAATTCATTATTTTTTTCTTTTATAGATTGAGCTTTTGATGCCACATCTTAAAATCTTTGCCTTAAGATCAACAAGAATGGATATCTTACATATTGGGTCTCTCAATCATTGAACCTAGTGTAACTTTCTATAGGTCTCATTTAATTTCTTTTTGTACTTTATACAGTTCAATTTGCTAAAATTATTTTAAGAACTTTTAAGATTCCACCTCACCTTTGTTAGAATAGCTATCATCAAAACACCACCAACAACAGGTGTTGGTGAAGATGTGGGGAAAAAGGAACCCTCATACACTGCTGGTGGGAATGCAAGCTAGTGCAACCACTCTGGAAAACAATATGCATTCCAGAACCCTTTAATCCTGATTCTTTTCCCAGCCTCAAGAAGTTTCCTCAGGTGGGAGTGCTGATCACCACTCAGCTTGATAACTAAGATCAAGTCTCTGATGATTATACAAAAGGAGCCTTCTACATATCTCTAGCGTTCTCTCTGTGTGGGCTCTTCTCTATGACATCTAGCCATCTTGTGCTCCTCAGATTCCCAGCTCCATCTCAACTCAAAGAGACTGTGAAGATCTGCCTGGGTTCCCCTCCCAGCCCTACAGCCTAGAAACTCTTTCAAAACAGTAAAAGGTGGCAGTTATAGGGGTCACCTCATTTGTTTCCTATCTTCTCAGGGACCACTGCTTAGTGCTACTGACATTTAATATTTTATGAACCATTGTTTCATATCTTCTGTCATCCACTTCTAGATGTTTCAGGTGGGAGGGAAAATCTGGTCCCTGTTACTCCATGTTTGTCAAAATGGAAGTCATTGATAGTGTCTTAATAGATGAATAATCTGAGGATATAGCACGAACTTGGGTGTAAAGAACTACTCAGTACAAAGGACGTCTCTCATTTGTCTTCTACATTATTTTAGGTTTTCACATAACTTTTCCTTCACTGGTGATTTTAATATTTTGGTTGTGTAAGTAATTTTATTATAATCCTCCCGTATCCCTGTTTTTTCTCATCCAATTGTATTTTTATCTCTACTTGATATCCCTGAGGCTTTCTTCTCTTCTTTAATAGCAGGTATTTCTTCTTGCAGCCTACTAAGGGTTTGGTCTAGTAGCAAATTACTTTCAAAGATCTGGTTGTCTGAGCCTTCAGGATGGAGCTTCCTTTCCTTATTTTGCAGCTGTCTGTTCCTGGGGCCCTTTGTACCACACAGTGTGTCCATGACCTTTGGTCTGCCCTTCTGTCTATCTGGATGATGGTAACTCCCTTCAGACTCACAGCCTAACCCCCAGAATCAGGCAGGTTTTCATTTAGCACCTCTGCTTCCCTGAGGGCCAGCTCCCATTGCTGGCTGTTTGGTCCTCTGAATAAGGCATATATGGGTAACATTGCCTTCTGCCGTAGCCATTACTGTCACAGCTGTCTCGGCCTCTGTCTGTGTCATCAGTACTTTGTTACTTAGTGGTACTGAAATACTTACATTTGATTTTCCACTGTTTCTTCTGTTTTTCTCATCAGGTGTTTTCTGTGAGTTGTAGACTCCTAATGGATATGAAGAATCATTTCTGATGGGTATGAAGCTAGAAAGGATAAAGGAAGAGTGAGCACTCAAAGTACCTAAAAAATTAGAATTCACATAGCAAAATATAGTTGCTTCTATAGGGTTTCTTGTTAATAATAGACTTTATAATTCTGAACTACAGGACAGGGTGTGGAAGAAACAAAGAATTTCATTATCTTTGTGGTACAATAAGTCACATTCTACGTTTTCTTAGTCCAATTGACTAGCTTGGTTGCAGTTAGTTAAAGTTCCTAGTTTCTGGAAATTGGTTGGTTGTCAATCCCAGGTTTTTCTTTTGAATAGTCACCTTTTTATTTGTCTTCAAATGTAGTTGAGAAGGAAACTGTGAGAGTATATATTGGCTAAATCTGAGCCAAATTTACTTCTACAAGTTGGGAATGTCCAAAAATGTAGGGTAAATGACATTTATCTGTCAACTTCTGATATTACCAAGAATCACTATCATCTTTTCCTAAAAACTCACAGAGAATACATGAATTTCCTACAAGGAAATAAACTCTTAAAAGGGTCAGAATGAGGTCAATTCAGAGAATATAACCTCTACAAATTGGATTTCACAATATTATAATACATAATAGCTACAGAACTCAAGTTTTTGAAGACACCAATATAAAAATCTTGCCTCTCATGAAGAGGCAAAGAGGGGTTAGTGTTTATTAAACATGAAGTGTCCTTGGATGTCCTACTTTTCCTACCACAGAAGCAAAGATGGCCAAGAAGCAAGTACCAGCTAAAGACCAAATGGCTGCAGCCTGCCTGGGAGAACCTGATGCACAATCATCAAGCTCAGAATCCCCCATAGTGTATCTGAAGGATGTTGTTTGTTACCTGTCCCTGCTGGAGACCGGGAGACCTCAGGATAAGCTAGAGTGTAAGTGCTTGCCCTGTCTCGGGCTTCAGTTTTTACCTAGAGGAGGATCGGGGTTCCTGTCGCTCATCTCTTAACACACTGGAGATTGATCAGTGACCATGAGTACAGGTTCTGCCTCATTGCAGGAAGTTTCTTTGCCCTGTCACCAGCACCAATATGAACATTTCCTATAATCCACCCTAGGACACAGTACCAGTGGTCTATAGGGTGGGAAGGGCATCTGAGAACTTGGCATTAAGAACCAGAATTTGCAAAGGGGAAAGGTTCTCATTGAGGGGATAAGACTCCTTTGCTTGGCTGGCAGATTTTCTTAAAAGTCTTCAGTCAGAAGGCTGCTACATTTTCTTGATAGACTTTTTTAAGAAAAAATATTCACAACCTGATCTTGTTCCCTTATTAAGTGATCAAGAACTCTTTTTTTTTTTTTTTCTAATACTGAGCTCAGGGCTTCCCACTTGCTAGGCAAAATACTCTACCATTTGAGCCACACTCCAGCCCTTTTTTGCTTTAGTTATTTTTCGGATAGGGTCTTGTGTTTTCGCACAGGCCAGCCTTGGATGGACCTTGATCCTCCTACCTATGCTGCCGTAGTAGCTGGGATCACATGCATGCATACACCTGGCAACAAGCAACTCTAACTATGACAAATGTTTTTTCCCCTTCAGCCCTAGTCAACCAATGTCTTGGTAAGGCTTATTTCCATTTCTTCATGCACCCCACCCCAACTCCCAAGGTCTTTGATCTATACAAAGAGTGCTAGTTAATTGAGTTAAGCTGGGTTTCATGGTGCTACAAAGTTGGTTTCCAAACAACTTCAGGAAGAGAATAAGAGCTAGGGCAGAAAGAGCCTGTGGTCTTGAAAAGGATTCAGCCCAGTTATGGTTTTCCTGGCCTCTGGAAGCCTACCTGCACTCTCTTCAGAATAAGTGATGATAGGACCTTGTGACAAAATATGTATTATCTTTGCTTTTCTTGGGAACTTAAGTAGAAAGTAAGGGAAAAAATACCCATTACAGCAAAAGTCAAAATTCCAGTTAATAATAAGACCAGTCAACAAAATTTAAACATTAGCAGAGGAAGTCTGCTAAAGGTTAACTCTGCCAAAACCAAAATGAAACAGTATGCTCATTAGGTGAGCTCAAAATCTCCCCCTTAGGTTTCAAGTGTTAACAACTGTTAAGTCCTAAGTGCTAATTTGGTAGCAAATGGACCAGATTTCTGTTTTCTTCTAGCTAATGTTAAAAGTGGAATGTCCAATTATTTCCAACATTTAGCTGGAGTTTGAGTTTTAGGCATTATAATTTTAACAACTGCTAAGGAGAATATGGCAGATGCCCCCTATTAGTTACTCTCAAACTGAGTTTTGAAATGGCAATGAAACGAAAGTTTTTTTATTGAGGTATGGCTCAGGTGAGGCCCCAAGTTCAAGTCCCGGTACCACCAAAAGGGGAAAAAGAGTTTTTATTATAGAAAATTTAAAAGCTAGGTTCAAGTAGAGTTCAATGCGCACCCATGAACATATTATGCAATGTTAACGATCATAAGTTCATAGTTAATTTTGTTTTGTTTTTTCTGCCTACCCATTCCGTCTGCCTCTGTTTTGAAGCACTTTCCAAAGTTGCCTAATTTCATCTGAAAATATTTCAGTATGTACCTCGAAAATCACACTTTCTTAAATACAACCACAACACTATTATCACATCTGAGGGAAGTGATTCTTTACTATTATTTTTACTCATTCCATATTCATATTTCCCAGTTATCTTCTGTATTTTTAATTGCTTATTTGAGTCAGGATCCAAGTAAACTCCATATGTTACCATTGATCACAATGTCTACTATGTCTCTTCAGACTCTTGCTTAATCTTTTGGTTCCCTCCCCAAGCTTTGGATAATTGTTTTTTCCTTGAAATTTTTTTTGTTGCAGTATTTGGTCATTTATTCTGTAGGGTTTTTATTTTGGTTTGTTTTATTTAATCCCATCAATTTAAATCCTTCCCCTATTTTAATGATTGAAAACAAGCTAAGCATGTGCCAGTGCAAGACTAAGTCTCATCACTGAACACCTTGTGTTTACTAAGTATTTTCAATGCATCTTACCATTTTAACCCACAATAATCCCAGAAGGATGATGCAATCACTCTCATTTTACACATACGAAAGCATCAGAAGGTTAAAAGACTTGCCCAAGGCACATCACTGAAGAGTAGGCCGCTTACTCAACTCTTTCCAGCTCTATAGTTCATGCGCAGTAGAGAGGTCAGTTGAAAAAGTCTCCTGGACCTGGAGTCCTGGAATGATGCCAGTAGGAAGCTCTGTCCCTCTTTGTGATCAGGACACTCTGAGGAGTCACAAAGAATGGACAACCCACCACCCTACTTTTAAAGAATTTATCCAGCCAGGTATGCATCACTGAAAAAATACAAGATATAGGGACACTAAAACATCTAGAGGTAAATTATGGCACAAGGGCAACTTAATCTGACCTAAGGAAACGTGCCAAGAGCTCTGAAGGGGCACATCAGAGAGGGCCAGGCGGGGATGCATCACAGAGAAAGCAGGTATGAAGGGCTTAAAGACTGGGAGAAAAATGGAGAAATTTTTAGTTCTGCTTCCTACACTGCTTACTTCAGAGATCATAGAGATCCTCCCTCTATCTTTTAGGCGAATGAAATACAGGCATCCAGGTGCTATCAATGAACACTTAGTCTTCAATCCAAACTTCCCTCCCAGCTCTTCCTCAATCTACAAAACGTCCCTGCAGCTAAAAACGTGATTGAAGATGTTGCCAGATAGCACATTGACATTTTAGCAAAAATTATACTCAGGCTCAACATCCCTAATCTGAAAATCCAAACTCTAAATGGCTCCAAAATCCAAAACTTTTTGAACCTCAATATAATGGCCATAAATGGAAAATTCCACACCTGACATCATGCAATAGGTTACATTCAAAACACAGATGCACTAAAAATATTGTATGAAATTACATGAAACATAAATGGATTTCATCTTTCCCATGGGTCCTATCCTCAAAACAGTTATTACGTATATATGTATATATATATTTATATGCAAATATTCCAAAATCCAAAATCTAAAACACTTCTAGTCCAATAGAAGCTAACAGTAACTACATCATCCTTATTACTGAGGATTAAATAATAGTGATAAAGTGCACACAGCAGTGCCTGGCACATACTAAATGCCACATATAAATATTCATTAATAAAAATAAATAACACTATTGAGTGCTTTCTGCAATCTAAGTCCTGTTGATTTGGTATCTTAGTTACATATTAATCCTCATGATAATCCCAGGAAAAAGAAATTATTATAATCTTCATTGTATGGAAAACTGAGCCCAAGGAAGTGAAATAACTTTTTTGCCCTCACCCAGAAATTGTAGGGCATACCAGAATTTAAATCTGCCTTACTCCACATTCTTTCATAGAAACAAAGGCCCAGCTCTAATTCTGGTGCCTCCGCCCCGCCACTACTGGCATGTGCTTTCACTTGTGTGCACGCTCTCCAGAGATTTACACTTGTGACCTGGACCTCATTAGCTACAGAATTACTGCTTAAACAGGTCCAGAGGCCAGTTGACTTGATTTTACTTCTTGTCCCACTCTCTCCCGAAAGAAATCAGACTCTGGACCTTGGTGGGGGGACAGTGAGCTGGCTGCAACAGCCTTCGTCCCATTGGTGGCCAGATGTGGTCTAAAAACATGGTAAGACCCAAACCTCAGTCCATCCCTGGTTCCTGGATGACACCTCACACTGACCCTGTGTTTCTTGCAGTCATGTTTCGTCTCTATGATTCGGATGAGAATGGACTTCTGGACCAAGTGGTAAGTTCTCACTCTAAATATCCCTAGTGGAGCTGAGAAAGGCTGGGGGTTGGAGAGCAAGTGGAGGGAGGACCTGAAAATTCTCAGTTCCATCTTTGTGGGAATTGCAGTGTCTTCATATGGGGTGCAGAAATCTGAGCCGAGTCCCCCACCTTCTACTTCCAAAGAGCCAGCCTTTCAGAGCATTCATTCCAAACTTGCTTTTTCACTCCAGAAGCCTGGGACTACAAAGTCTCAGGATGGGGAAATGTTTTAGTATTTCATCTAATTTAACTTCTCCATTTACACACTTTCCCTGAAATTTCTTGCTTGGAGCCTTGGGATCAAGAAAGGGGTGGGGGAACAGAGAGGCAACAAGACCAGGGCATGAGGGTAAGAAGAAGGGAGATCACTGCTTGAGTCTAGGAGCTTGGTTCTGTCTGCTCTGAGCACACGACCCTATCCCACTGCACCTGAGAAAGCCTGCACTTGCCTCACCCCTTCAGGAAGGGGCAGGGACAGTGAAGACCACAGAGAAAAAGGAAGGATGGAAAAGGAAGAAGGCAGAGGAGGCATCTACACTCAGGTCCTGTAGTATGACTGGCAATACCAGTCACAGCTCATTAACAAGAAGGTTGAAGTGCATAATGACTCAGACTGGATGAAGGAAAGAACGAAACAAGTCCACTAGACCAACTGAGTCATCCCAATTCCTTTTAAACCCAGGTTACTTTCTCCCCCTCCCCAGCCACATTGCAGTAATGTGTGCAGAAGCCTTTAGGAGGACAACTATGGAATCACAGATCTCAAGCACTTAGTCAACACTTATTTACTGGATGTCTACCATAGGTCAGGTGCTGTTCTAAGCACTGGAACATCAGTGTAGCATATTGATAAAATTCTATTCCCCAAGCTTTCATTCCAGTCCAAGCATCAACACTGAACAGAAATTTAAAAAATAAAAATGTTGGGAAGAGCCTTCCTGGCAGAGGGACCAGTCAGTGCAAAGGTCCTGAGTGGTGCCTGGGATGTTAGAGGATTAACCAGATCCCCCAGTGACAAAAACAGGTGAAGTGAGAGTGAGGAAGTAATTAGAGATGAGATCAGAGGAGTTGTGAATGGGCTGTAGGGGCAAGGATTTTGCCCAGTGCTTTGGGTCTTATGGGTGATTGAAAGGTTTCATCTTTGACTCTGGAGAAACGGAGAACAATTGAAGACTGTAAGCAGAGGAGTGACATGACTGACTCATGTGTTAACAGAAGCACTCTAACTGCTCCATTGAATAGATTCTGAAGGGACACAAGCAGGAACAGCAGTTAAGAGGCTGTTGAGACAAGGTATAGCTTTGCACAGTGGCAGTATTGTAGTCAATTAGGTTTAATGGAGGTGTGATTATTGCCAATTGAAATAATCAAGGCATGAAATGATGCTAGCCTTGCACAGGGCAGAAGTATTGCTGGTGATCAGAAGTGGTTCAATTCCAAGTACATTTAAAAGGTAACATTGGTGGGCTGAAGCAAGTCTTGAAAGAGTTACCTGATTCAACTTTCCCCTGAAATCCTGATGGGCTCTGACTTCTCTGTGAATACTCCTAGTGAAGGGGAGGTCACCCACTACCTTCTGGCAGCTGTCCCACTGCTGGGAACCACTGTTAGAGAAAGCTTGCATCCTGCACACAAAGCATCTCTCTCTGCCAGACAACACAATACCTGCTGCTCTCTCCTCCCTCCCCCCCAATCCAGGAGGGAAGCCAAAGTAGACTAACCTTCACATCCTCCTTTCCCCCCATCCCTTGGCTCCTTCTGCCCTCTGTAGAAAGAGGGAAAGTGGAAAGCCAATTCCATACACTGGGCATTGAAGTATTCGATGGTGCTATCACATCTCCCTAAAATCTTCTCCAAGCTAAAGTTTCCCCATTCTACATTCTTTTTCATAAGACAGTCTTAAAAATCTACTCTGGACAACCTCTAGTTTGTCAGTTCCATTCTTAAAATACCACACAGAGCAGAAGCTCTCCCTCTATGACTCAAGTATCCAAATGTAGCCTGACCAAGGTAGACATTGGAAAACTAGTCCTTTCTGAAATCTGCCCATGGTCCTATTTAGACTGAGTCTAACTCTTGGTCCCTGAATCACATTTTCTGGTTGAATCTTGGATCCAAGTAGATTCACAAGCTCTTTTCTACTGGAATCTGCCCAGCCCTGACTTCACATTTCTGCCCACTTCCTTGCACTCATCTACCACCCTACCCTGTAGTTTTGCTATAGATTATTTAATTCAAATTATTACTTAAATTTAACTGAAATACCATTTTAAAATCCCGGTTGTGGTTTAGCTTGCTTGTTTAAATTCATATTCTACTTGGTGGAGGTAATAATTCCACGCACATGCCCACCCAGAGAAATCTTACTATGAACAAGTTAGATGGTACATGAGATGCAAAACTTAATACCAAATACTTCCTCAGTTCAATATGTTTCAGTGGGTCCCTCTGTGCACTGACTTGTCGGCACCCATATCTGTGAGGTTTTATATGTAGCCTGACCTTCGTACCAAAAGTCTTGCTCATCAGCCAAACATATCCCTTATGAATTTTCACATAGTTCTGGGGTTGAGGCTAAACCATAAAAAGAAGAGATGCCAAAAGGAATATAAATCTGAGCTAGGACCAACACAGAAACAAACCCTCCATCCAAGTGAAGCTGACCCTACAGAAGGATAAATGGATCCCAACTCGCTAAAAACTGCGGGGATGAGGAATGATAAGAAAGGAGAGGAGAGGCCTGCCTTGGTTTGGAAGTATTTGTGGGAGCTACAATAACAAGGGAGAAAAACAGAAGGACTTCCTCTGCTTTTTAAGGACAGATTAGTAGAAGGAAGGTGGGTCCAGGAAGAGGTCAGTGTTCTGTGAGCTTTCTGCATACCTCTGGCTTACCTGTTCACCAGGCTTTGTGGTCAAGGTAGAAACAAATAGTGCACAACCTTGTCATGAAATGCCAGTGTATTGCACCCACTTCTCAGGCTCTGCCACGTGCATCTTCTCATTGGGTTTAATTTTGAATTTTTCTCTTAACAACTTAATTTTCAGTTTTTCTCTTAACAACACACCTTGGCTGCCCTTGATATTTTTTCTCATGATGTTTTCAGGAGATGGATCGCATTGTCAATCAAATGCTGCATATAGCCCAGTACCTGGAGTGGGATCCTACGGAGCTAAGGCCTGTGAGTGTCTATAAGCATGGGTTGACTCCAGAGCAAGCTTCCAAGATGTTTACTGTGCAGGTGCTCCCAGACTTGTCCTATCAGTAGCTTCTTTGAAGTTCTATTCATAGACTTCCAACTTCTCTGATAGGTAGGATATACACAGCAGCAGCAAAAAGCACAGATGTAATGAAAATCATAGTTCCTTCTAACCTTTACACACCTGAGCTAAAATTTTACAGCAGGATTTCGTAGATCAAAAAATCTAGAGCCAGAAACAATTTCAGAGTTTTCTCTCAATCACAGATGTTAATAACAAAAATAATAGCTTTGGGAGAATCTTATGCATCAGGTATTATATTAGACACTTTGTATACATTTTCTCTAATCCTCACTACAGTGTTGCAAGCATAGCAATATTATTTTCATTTTTACAGATAAGCAATCCAAAACCCAGAGAATTGGAGTGACCTTCCTCTCTCAGTCCACTCAGTCATATCAGGACAAATTCAAACCTAGAACCCTAATCTCCTCACTACTAATCTGGTCCCTCACAACTGTACTCATTGTGAATAACAGGGGAAATGGTTAAAGGAGAAAATGGATAATACAGGACCATAGAGAATAAAGAAGGCAGAAGGGAGGGCTAGTGGAATAGCTCAAGTGGTAGAGCGCGTACCTAGCAAGCATGAGGCCCTGAGTTCAAATCCCATGCTGCCAAAAAAAAAAAGAAGGCAGAGGGAAGTCAAAAAGTCAAGAATGAAAATGGACAATTGTGTTCTTTGGATTCTGCAGATATTGAAGGAAATGTTGCAAGGGATGGACTACGACCGGGATGGCTTTGTGTCTCTACAGGAATGGGTTCATGGAGGGATGACTACCATACCTCTGCTGGTCCTCCTGGGGACTGACGACTCTGTAAGTCAATAAACTAGAGTTCAAAGATCCCTGTCATTCAGGAGCATCAGAATCCATGTTAATATCTCTGGCTTCTGCCCTGCATTTCCCAAAGGACGGCTCAAAAGTTCACTATTTTCATCCCTGTAGCTGTTCATGTCCAAAATATATTCATTCATTCGACAGACAATTGCTAAATTATTACTGGATTAAAGTATTGTTCTGTGTGCTGTGAGGGGATATAGATATGATATTTACCTACAAGAAACTTATCCTCAATCAGGAAAAGTGCAAAAGAAACTTCAAGGAAGAATCCCATCTTTTCAACAATTAGGTTTTAAAATGCTAAGAGAACTGGGAAAGGAAGGAAAGAAGGAAAAGAGAGAGAAAAGGAAGGAGGGAGGGAGGATGAGAAGGAGGGGGAAAGAGAGGTAGAGGAAAGAAGGAAAAATACTTTTCTGGTGTGGGGGTTGCTTCGTGAATGGTCCCTCATTTAACAATGAAACAACAGATAAAGTAGGTATTTTTGTCCCGATTTGCACAGATGGAAAACTGAGCAAAGAAGGAGTTAGAATTTTTACCTGACTCCAAAGATCCTGGACTTTTAACATCCCACACATGAGAGTGAGACCAGCATGAAGGAGGGCATTTGACATGGCTCTGAAGAATACACAAGACTGACATTCCATTGTGTGTGTGCCTGTGTGCACATTGCTGGGGATCAAACCCAGGGTCTTGCCAAGCACTGCGCCACTGAGCTACATTCCTAGCCCTTGATTTTTTTTTTTTTTTTGAGATAGGATCTCACTACATAGCTCAGGCTGGCCTTAAACCACTATGTAGCCCAGTCTGGTCTCAAATGCACAATCTTCTGCTTCCATTTCTGGAGTGCTGAGATTAGAGGCGTGCTCCACCACACCCGGCTGATATCCCATTTTTGAGACTAAAGTTCAAATGAAGAGACCTAGGAGGATGTTTGATCTGGTTGTCAAAGTTAGCTGTGACTTAGCAGGTAGAAGATTGCAGAAAAGCAAACTTATACAAGGGAGAACAACTTGATCCAAGACCCAAATGAAGGAAAGTCCAGAGAAATCTCCTGGTTGGATCAGAGTAGGGGAGGCATGAAAAGGCTCATTGTGAGTTCAATGGTTATGACAGTGTGCCTGTAACCCAATCCACGGCATTTTCTGCTTATTTAAGTGAACTAACTTCCACACATGAGGTAGGAAAACTAGAACTAGTAAAAACACAAATGGTACATTAAATGTTTACCAGGTTCAAAGTGCCACCAATTCTTTGCATGGAAAGAACCCACGGCTTTCTAGCTGGAGGAGGATGAGCTTATTTCTTCAACACTCTCCCCAGTGTCTCCCCTAAATCAGCCGTATAGAAGACTATAATTAACATTAGAAAAGTGGAAAACAAAAATAATTAATAGCTTAGCTTTTGTTAAAAAGGGGGGGGAGGGTTGTGCATTTATTTTAAATATATGCTAAATAAAATTTTAACGTAATAATGTTTGGGTCTTCCTATTGCTGGTTTGGCTTTCTTCAAACTCCGTTTATGACCACTGGGAAGTCTGGGGATCTCTAAGTAGAACATATGCAATACAATCTGTGTCCTGGTGAAGCTGGATCAGCACCCTTGCTTCAGGAAGTCACTCCCACATTGCGCAGCCTCCGCGTGCAGACATGAAAGAACCACACGATGGCGCTCTAACCCAAGAAGAAATGTTCCCTCATCCCACCCCCCTCACCCCCCAGGGTCCATTTTCTTCTCACACCTGTAGAAGTAGTAGCTGAGAAAGTGGGAGTCAGTTGACTACATTAAGAGAGAGATTTTCAGAGGAAATGATAGTCCTTTGGACTACAGGAAGAAGCTAGATTTACTAAAGAGAGCTCAAATTTCCCTTCTGTTCCTGAAGGAAAGTCCTGGCTGTGGAGGGAGAGTCATGGTTATGGACTCCAAAGCCAGGCAGAACCCTGAGTTTGACTACTGGCTCTGTTGTTTATTCTGCATGTGGTCTTCGTCCTCTGAGTCTCTGTTTCTCATCTGTGGAGTAGGAACGAATCTACCTCCTTCCTTGTAACTGTATACTCTCTAGATATTTTTGTATCTCCTAGTGTCTGGTACACAGGAGAAGCTCAATGAAAGTTTTAATTTCCTATGTGTCTGGCAGTGGGCTAGGAGCTGTACTTAACATTATTTCACTTAATTCTTACAATAAATCCTCAAGGTAGATGTTTCCAAATGAATGATTCATTCAGTCTTTTGATGACGCATTAGTCATTTGTGAATGTATTTACGAAAGTGGAGACCCTTAGTTAAAGGAGCATTAATTCTATAAAACTCAGGTCTTGGAAGAAACAGCGTTTTGAGGTGGTAAGAAGGGATTCACCTGGCCTGGAAGAGGAAACTGACATTTAGAAAAGAACGCAGGCTCTTCCAGGGACCATCAGGGAAAGTCTTATGAAACAGGAGCAGGTCCGGCTACAGCGACCAGCACAGACGCATCGGTGCCCAGAAGGACGGATTAGGTTTGAGTCCACCGTATTGAGCTCTGAGTCCCAGGCCATCGATCTGAGGGTCACCTTCAGTTTTCACTGCCTTTCAGACCAGCCTGAGTGTTACTTATGACAGAGCCTATGAGAAAGGCTCAGGGATGGCACATGTAGGGTGGGATGTCCTAAAGCCACAGCCAAAAGCCACCAAGGGCTGTAAGGTATGGAACTTGGTGTTCCAGGGAAGGCTTATGACTGTGCGAGGCATGGTTTATGTGGGGTGAAGATGATTTTGCTGCTGAGCCAGTCAGAAGAAAACAATGTAATTTGCTTTATATTGTTCGATTTACTGTTTTATCTATGTGCAAAAAGTTGGTAAGTTGATACAAGTAGTACATTGTTTTTACTAAATATTTCTCCTGATTATAACACTAGCATACTCTCACCAGAGAAAGTTTGGAAAATATGGAAAAAAGTAGAAATTTAGAGAATAAAATAAATGCATGATGTTGTCAGCAATAGCTAACCTCAGGTGTCAGGTTAATAAGTTTTTTTCCCATTAAAGATCCTACTATATAAAATTGAGATCAATACTGCATCTTCAAATTTTCATTCTGATTTTTTTTCACTTAACGTTATATGATGAGCACATTCCTGTGCCATCAGCTGATTCTATAAGTATCTTTTTGATTGTCACCTATCATTAAGTCATATCATATGGGTATACCATAATTAACCTTTTAGAAATTTGGAGACCTTTAAGAAATTTCCAGTTTTCATTATTTTAAATAATGCTGGGTTAAACATCTGACAGCACAAAAAACGCTCATATGCCTTTTAAATTTTTCTTTAGGATAGTGTCCAAGAAGGGAAATTGGCAAATCAAAGGTTATAAACATTTAAAGGATCTTTAGAGTGACTAATGAAAGAAATAGATAGATGGATGGATGGATGGATGGGTAGATAGGTAGGTAGATAGATAGATAGATAGATAGGTGGGTGGATGTGTGGGTGGGTTAGTGGGTGGATAGATAGATATAGATAGATAGATAATTTTGTTCCAACTTACACATCTGCCAGCCACGTAAAAGAGGGTTTATTTTACTGCCCCATAATTCCACTCATGCATTCCTTGATATTAATATTTGCTAATTTTAGAAAACACACACAAATAATTTTTTATTTGTACCTGAAACCACTTAAAAAGTGAGCAATTTATCTTCCAAATATGAGAAGAGAACTTATTTAAGGAAAAGCAGAACATGGACAAAGCTGTCCCTGGTTTCTTCTAGCAGGGGGTGGGGAGTTGCCAGCCAGCTCAGGGTCTCCCCTCTGATTACCCTGCAGAGCTCCAAGGGGGATGGGAGGCATGCCTGGACCCTGAAGCACTTCAAGAAGCCAACCTACTGCAACTTCTGCCACATCATGCTGATGGGTGTGCGGAAGCAAGGCCTGAGCTGCATTTGTGAGTAAACCTCCTCACGCCCTTCCCCCCAGGAACTGTGTACTCTGTGTAGCTCTGCACATGGTTGGTTGTACCATTCCAGGGAAAATCTAGGTATTTCTCTTCCCAGATTGAGGGACCATCCCATTATTCCAACAGCAGGAATAAAGCAAGGTCTCTGTGTCCTGTTTTGACTCTACCTGCCCCAAATGGGCAAGACATGTACTGTTGTTGGAGTCATGAATCACCAATCCTCTAGGGAAAGTTGCTGCACAATAAAAAAGCATTTCTGGTCAATGCTTATTTCAAGTGTATTTGGAGGAATTTATAGATTTTATAGATTTGTATAGATTTCTAGATTTCTAGATTTTATAGTCTATAAGTGCAATGGGAATTAAAATTATACACTTGCTTCATTTTATAACCCACTTAGGAAACCTGGAGGGTAAAGGAGAATAAAAAAATCACAAGTGAGAGACAGGAGGAAAAGGAGAGAGGGAAGCAGGGATGGCAAGCAGGAGAAAGAAATGGAGAGGAGAAAGGGGGATGTAAGGAAGGGGAGCAGAAGGAGAGGGATGCACGAGAAGGCTTTGCGGGGACCAGAGCATGTGGGTGCGCACAGCCCTGCCGACCACCTCATGGATCAAACAGCAAAGGCTCGGCCCAAACCCACCAGGGGCTGAGGAGCTCCTGCAGGGAGGCCCCTCAGTGTGGTTCAAGTCCCCAAAGTGTCTCTTCTAACATGCACATGTGACCTTGGCCACAAAGGTCATTTAGTGGAGCTGGTCCCACAGTCCAAGCTGAGCAAGCATGAGCTGGTAAAGAAACAGTCCACAGAACCTTCCAACCCCATCCAAATCCACCTCTAACCCATTTTTTCATCCACCTGTCCTCATTCCTGTTAAGTTCCAGCCCTGGGGACCCCAGCACTTTGCATAATCATAGTAAGAACATGTTACCATGTAATAGTAGGATCATTCGTGGGATAGCTACTCTGAGCCAGCACACAGTGCTTCACACAAATATCTCATTTAGTGCTGTGAAATCCTGGCAAAGACAAAAAGAAGTCATACTCGGCATATTCTTGAGAAAACCCTAAATGAGAGGTAAAGCACTGTACCCAAGAACATATGGATTAGTACAAATGGCAGAGCTAGCAATCAGGCCCAAGCATGCTTTGCCCCAGAGACTGTGGCCTTTCTGTCCACTCACCAGCATCCCAGTGTACAAGACTGAAGCACTGCATAGCAAGCCGGGTGCTGCCTGACACTCCCCCTTCTGGGGCATTTTCCAGGTACCTTCCCCAGAAGAAGGCAGTGGGACAAGGTAGAGGTACAGAAGCAAAACTTGGAGAGAATCAGAGACTTTACTAGGGGAAGAATGAGAAGCTGTTGAATTTTCTTTAGGCTCCCTTGCTTCTCACTGGCCACTCAGCAGGATGTACAGTCCTTGGCTTGGGAGGGAGGGTGAGTGGATCTTTCCTTGGTGGCACTCACAAGCACCTTTCTTTTTGTTTTCTTTTTTTTTTTTTTTCTTTTCAGACTGTAAATACACTGTCCATGAACGCTGTGTATCCAAAAACATTCCTGGGTGTGTCAAAACATACTCAAAAGCCAAAAGGAGTGGCGAGGTTGGTGACACCTATTACCTTGTTCTACTGCATGGTGCCTCTGGGACAACACGTCCATCACCATGGGCTCCTGGGCAGGAAGGGCCTTTGGGAGCTTTCTCCAGTCCCTTCTCTGACTTAAGGATCTGCTTCAAACCATCCTGTTCATCCATCAATCCATCCAGCCTCGCCCTGTGTCCACCATGTGTCAGGCACTGTGCTAGGCTATAAGAAATAGTCCCTAGCCTGATCAAGCACTGGGTATTTGACAGGGATAGACAGACATGTAAGCAGAGTGCAAAGTAGTGAGGGGTGTGTTGTCATAACAGGGCCACATGGAATGTGCCCTTGATTCACAGAGGAGAAACCAGGGCATTTTTTTGCAAAAAAGGTGGCATCTGAATTGTGCCCTGAACCCATATCAGGAGACTTCCTGAAGCATCGAGGAAAACAAGGCACTCCAGACAGGGGCCTGTGTGCCCCAGGCATGCAGGCATGGCTTATACTAGGACCCATACTTAATTTGGTGTGGCTGGATGCTTAAAGGGAGGAAGCAGGAGATGTGCTCACACAGTGGCAAGATCCTGCCTGGAGAAGGTCTTGTGAGGACAGCTCAGGAATTAAAACAGTTTCCTGCACAGCTGAGGGTCACTGAGAGCTTCAGTGATTGAGTTTACTAATTAGGTGAATTATTCCAAGCATGGTGTAGAGAGAAATCAGAGGGAGGAAAATCCTTCCAGTAGTTAAAGCAGAAGGTAGTGCCAAGCCAAAACCATGACTGGGGTGGGCTTGTACTCACCAGCCGTCATGAGATCATGGCTGTGGTGAGCATCCCCTGGGACCCCCAGGTTATTGAGTATTTTGATTGTGGGCTTGACAAAGATAGAGAAGACAAAGGGATCATTGAGTTGTAATTTGGAGGTACTGCCACCCAGGACTTGGTGATATGGATGTAAAGGATAAAAGAGGGGAAGAGATAGGGAATGACCCCCAGGTTTCTATCTTGACCTTTGAATGATGGCATTTGCTGAGCCTACAAATCCTTAAAATTAGGGGATAGGTATTCTGTCTTGGTACAGAAGGAAGATTCCATTGAGGAAGGTGAGTCAGGAGATATTTAGCAGTGGCAATCGTACCCAGCCTTCCCACAAAAGGCCCCCTGAGAAAGAAGGGTGTCCCCAAGGACTTCTGTGCATGCCCATAGACACTGCATGGCCTCTCCCCTACTCCTTCTGCACCTCCCGGATACACACCGCTTCCATGCTCATGCCTTCTACCAGGACACAAGTGCGCCTCCTAGGCTCAGCCCTTGCTCACACTCTGTCTATCTGCCACACAGAACACTATGAGGCTGCTGAGGGGCTGGCAGGGCACAGTCACAACCTTCTGAGCCTGCAGGGGCAGCCCAGTCCTTCACCACCTCTTCAGATCTCAGAGAGGTCAGAGAAGGCACTGCAGTGCTGGGGATTCAACCCTGGACTTGGTTGGAGTCAGAAGACCTGGCTGTGGGTCCCTGCTCAGCTGCTTGGAAACAGGGCAGTCACTTAACCTCTCTGAAATCTCAACTTTCCCATCTGCAAAATGGAAATAATAATAATAGTCTCAGAGAAAATTCAGTGTGACCATGTAGATGGCAAATTGATTAAGAGCCAGGCATGGTAGCTTTTACCTGTAATTACAGCTACATGGGAGACAAAAATTGGGAGGATCATGGTTTGAGGCAAGCCAGGGCAAAATGTTACTAAGACCCCATCTCAACCAATGAATTTGGGCGTGTGATGCACACCTGTCATTCCAGCTATGCAGGAGACATGAATAGGATGAATACATTACAGTCTGAGCAAGGCACTATTTGAAAAATAACTAAAGGAAAATGGGCTGAGGGCATGGCTCAAGTGGTAGAGTGCCCATCTAGCAAGTGTGAGGCTCTGGTTCAAACCCCAGTACGACCAAAAGAAAAAAAATTGATTCACAAAAACTGAGTTTTTTGTACCCTCAGTGGTCCATGGCCAAAGAGTGTGACATATCTTTTGGAGCAATAATTTATACAAAAAACATCGCAGGGTGGGTGGCATTAAACAACTTAATTGCTAAGTAATTGAAAACATTTACTCTTGTGTAATACAACCATGGATAGTATCACACCAATATTCCATGTGCTTTTAATATCATGCTTGAAGTTGGGCGCTTCAGGCTGTGAGAGTCCTCGTCCACTTCCTTCTGCAATGCAGGGTACTTCAGTGGAAGTTTCTGGGAAGTTCTGTGGAATTCCAGGGGGAGAGCATAGGCTCTTAGGCAATGGGTCAGTTGCTACTTGAGCCACACTAAGATATTCATACCCAGACGTTCTCACCTGCTCCCTGAGTTCCTAGCCTTCTCTGGTGGCATTCTTGGGCTAGGGAGCAGATACAACCAGTTCTCCAAAAAACAGGTGAAGGACACCCATTGGACCATCACTGATTTCTTTGGACTTTCTATTTTCTTCTAAAATGACTCTCAACTTTGGCTGCACATTATAGCCACATGGAGGGTGCTATAAATCTACAAATGATGGATCCATCCCTAAAGATCCTAATTTATTTGAAGTGTGGGGTGGGCACTTCTAGGACTTCTAGGAAATCCCTAAAAAGCTCTAATGGGCACTAAGACTGAGGAGGGGAAGGGAGTTATCATATAGTGGGAGGTCCTTGCAAGTACTCTAACTCATTGCATCTTCCCAGCAATTCCAGAAGTGGTACTTAACCTGCCAACTTCTACAGATGAGGGACCGGAGACTCAGAGAGACTCTAGAGCGGGCCAAAAGTCACCTTGTGTGAACTGCAAGATCAATCAATGACTCAGCCAGTTTTATCTGTGGCTCCAGCCGTCCCATATTCCCCTGCACTATGGTGCCTCCCAGAAAAGGATCCCCACAAGCATATCACTCTGCAAGTTCTTCAGGACATGCAATTGTTCAGCCAGGTGAAATGCTGCTTAGACACTTGCCTGCCAGGGTGAACAAGAAGTTCAAACTTGAGGCAAAGTGGATTTTAGTCTACCTTGGCTAGCACTATGACGGTTAGGTGGAGAGAGACCCAGCATCCAATCAGCATCTACTAAATAGGAGCCTCTTCCCACCTTCCTGCTCCTGTGCACCTCCCAGACTCCTTTACAGCCCTCAGTCCAGGGGTGTGTGGTTCTGCTGCCTTCCCTGGTATCCTTCCGTTCCCTCCCACAGGTGATGCAGCACGCATGGGTGGAAGGGAACTCCTCCGTCAAGTGTGACCGGTGCCACAAAAGTATCAAGTGCTACCAGAGTGTCACCGCGCGGCACTGCGTGTGGTGCCGGATGACGGTGGGTTGGCGCCCAGGGTGGCCCTGCTTCTTTTCAGTGTGGGTTTTCCTCAAGCTGCAGCCTGGCAGCAGTGAATGTCCCACCAGAAGGCAAGAGTAGAGCCAAGGGTATGAGGCTAGTGAGAGCCCTCACTTGATGTACCCAGCCTAACAGTGCTCCAACGAATTGCCAAGTGCCCAGAGAGAGGAACACCCCGAACCAGAGGAGGAAGGGCTGCTTAAGAAGAGGCTGGCCAGGCCTCTGTTTACAAGCCAGGCTGCTGGGAACAGCAGGCTAACCCACGACCATCCTTTCACCTGGGTGTCATCTGGGGCCAGGTGTGCTAAAAGATCAGGAGAGGTAATAGACACTAGGAGCCCTCTCCTTAAGGCTTCATAAGAAGGGGTGCTTGTCCCAAAGGCCCCTCTGTCTAGCCCAGAGGCCTGGGCCTATTGCCAACCATAGCCTATGCTGGAGTCCACAGCCCCTCTGAACACAGGAGTACCACTGACAGCCACTCAGCTGCCCAGCCTGCCTGCCAAAGCCAACTCGGGCTGTGTCATCTTCCCCTGACCCGGTGTCATTCTCAAAGAGAAGACTTCTCCAGATCAGACTGTGGAGCTCTCAAAGTACGAGGTTCAATCCTAGGGTTTTCTTCCAGCCTCCCACAAGTTTGCTCGTTGAGATCTCCTTCCTTCCAGTGTCTCTAAGCCTGGGAAGCAGAAACCAAGGGGGCTTTTGAATTCACTTAAGTGCCACACTGAAGGGTCTGTGCATGGCCACGTTGCTCCTGTAGCCATGTGTAGCTCTTGGTCTCCTTTCTCTGCTCATGGCAGACATGGCACCTTCACCACACACACACACACACACACACACACACACACACACACACACACACACACACAC